ATGCCCTTCGTAATTGAAGTAAGGAAATTCCTGCTCAAGAAAATGTGTGAAGTAAGCTAACTCCTGGTTCTTCCAAGAGATCCTCAGAATTTTTTTGAACAGGAAAGCTGGTACCCTGTGCAACTAAATAAGAATACAACAACTCCTCTGTCAAGCCAACAACAGGCCAATACAGTTTCAGTAATCTTTTTATCAAAGAATAAATAAATTTTCTCTACTGCCATCAAAATGACCCATACTTTACAGTATATTGAATTCCCCCTGGAGCTTTTCTTGAATATATATGTATGTGCTTTGAAGGTGATTACACTACAATTTGTCCCTCCTCTGTTACACAGTATTCTAACTATCCAGGCTAAATGTCTCTGCTGTGAAGAGAAAATAGATTGAGACATCAAACACATTTGTAAAATACAAAATTAACTAGGTTGTATACAAGAGTACAAAAAAAAACAAACCCCAAAACCAAAAGAAAATGCTATTTGAAACAAGGGTGAAAATATCAAACACAAAATGAATGAATGAGCCAATATGTAGGTATGAGATACAGAAAAAACATTGCAGCTTTGCTCATCTTTGTAATATTCATCAGATATACTTCCAAACTTTCAATGAAATTATTCACAAAACAAAGATTTCTGATTTTGCGCTCTCTTGTCAGGTTTTATTGAACTAATTTTATTAATACAAGTTCTGAAGAGATGGATATTCTCAAACAAGCATGCAGAAACCGTAAGAAACTAAAGACACTTGCAGTGGTCAGAAAAAAAAACAACAAGAAGATAATATGTGTGGCATTTTGGAAAAGAGTGATGCTGTGGAAATTTTGTGATGCTCATAAGGGAAAAAATCTATCAAATAAAGGTCAGGAAAAAACCCTGTTATGAGGAAAGTTCAAGTCATATGAATGACAATAATGATGAATGAAATATTTGATCTACTGGTGAAGGATGAATGAGGAATCTGGAATAAAGAAGCAGAAAAACAAAGCCAGAAAGTCTTAATATGAAGGTTAAACTTGTCTTGAACAAGGAAGGGAAGGTGCTAAGCCAGCAGACAAATCCCCAAACAGGAGGAAGAGTATGGAAAGTGGTAATTTGAAGGAAAAGTGGAGAAAACTACTAGATGGAATATATCCATAGGGATGCAGTACGAATGGAAAAGGAGTGAAGAAGGGAAAAAATAGAATGGGCAGGAAAATTAAATCCATCATCCTATTCCTCTGTTCACGGTTTGTAGCTTTCTGTTGTCACATTCAGTCACCTGCTTGATTGTAAAGTCTTCCAGGAATCTGACATATTTTAGACAGTATTCCTCATATATTATGGGTGATTTAACAAGTAATTAAAATGAACAGTTGCTTTACCTTTTCTGGAAGACACACCTCCAGTTTATACAATCAGAGGAAATAAATAATTAGTCTTGTGTTTAAGCTTCGCTTCATAAAGTATTATTCTCATCTACAAAAGTACTGTATGACTTGACAAAGCTAGCCAATGTAATGCCTATAAATATAAAGTTTAATATGGCAGTGAGATTGCTTTAGAACCAGTAACAGAAGAGCACTGTGTTCCTTATTTAAAGTACAATATCTTGATAAAACAAAAACTACACTCTAGTTCTGATTTATTTGGGAACAAACATCACCCTTTCATCATCAAAACCTTACCAGCTATTCCAGCTCATCTGGTAGCTACTGACAGGGCAGAAGGTGTTATAAGGTGACAGCAGAAAGTGACATAACTGTGTCATTATGGGTGTAGGTGTTCACAAAAGCCCCATGTAAGTCTGCCAGTCCCAATTTAATAGACCTGAACTTTTTTCTCTGCCAGGTTTTACACTGCTCTGTTTCTTGATCTTTATGCCCCTAACTTCTATGCTTCAATGTTATCTTCAATCTCCACAAACTGCTTTTCATTTTATTTTCTTGTCCTTTCTTGTCCCCACTTTACTTTTGGTTTTGCTACAACTAATGCTGATAAAACACTAATTTGAAATTTTATATTAGACAGCTCCATTTTGGGTAGAGTGCATGCTATTATTCTAGAGTCATCTTTCTTCTCTCTTTCAGCCTTTATCTTTTTCTCACTGTCTCCTTCTCTTTTCTTTTCCTCCTTTCATATAACATCTTTATGTATGACTATGTACTACTTGAGCTGAGCAGTCAAGAACAATTAATAGCTGGGATATCCTTGGAGGCTAAAGTGTAGTAATATTTGAAGTCACTGGCACTCTGCACTGGAAAATGTAATCTATGTTTTTTAAAGGCACTTTAATTGCCCAGCAATCATGCAGAACTGAGAAATATAGCTCTGCTTCCAAGATAATAACTCCCCAAATCACAAAGGTTGCTTACTCAATACCCTTGCTATATAGCAAAATATAAGAATGACACCAAGACTCAAAACTTCAACTTTATGTTAATCTATTATTCAGTATTAGCATTCATGTATTTTATAATATTTCACATAACCTGATGTGTGCTACTGTCATTTAAAACATACAGACTTCATCCAGCTTTGTTGCTAAAAGTAAAAAAGTTGCTCATACAGAGTCCATTTATATAGCCCTTATTCAGCTAAAACTAAAATTAATAATGAAAGGGGGTTCTGTATTAGTAAATGGATGAGAAGCTTTAGCACAGAGCAAAGGCAGCAGTACTAATTACATTCAGCTTTCACTGACCCTTGTTTCTTTTCTATATAATTTTCCACTCTTTTTTTGTAATTATTCCATCAAGTGAAAAGAGTTCAAAGATTTAATTATGTTAATTCTATTTAAATTATTCACATCTAACATTTTAACATAATCTGTATGTAGCTATCATGATGTTATTAAAGAGACCTCATCTACCTAAGGCATTCATTAATGATTTCCAAGAAATTTGTGATGTCTGTTGTACATGAACTTCTAACTATACCTGAACTTCTGAATGTGAGACTTTGGCTCTCTGCTCAACTTGCTCAATTTTTATCTGTGCAAACCACCTTGAAAAAAGAGTCAAGCATGTATGTATTCTTTTCAACCCTTTTTCTTCCCCTCATGACCTATATGTTGTATGGTTGCATACTTGAAAATAGGTTCTTAGGCTCTTTTCAAATAATCTCATCAGTACTTTGAAGACTTTACTCAGAATAATTCCTCAAAACCCAATACAAACAAATCATACTAATTCCAAACAGATACCATATCCCCATCATAACCAACTGTAACCTGGTCATAAACCTGAAAAAAAGAATTATGTTCAGTACCATGGACAAGTGCAGCCCAAACTGCCCAGAACTGAGACAAGTCCCCCAAACGCTACTTTTCACTACAGAAACACATCGACCTGACCCTACTCTTTCATAATAAGATTATACATTCTAAATACTGCTAAATTCTGAAGACCTAACTTGTTGAAATCATCACAATTATAATTAAAATATATATGGCAAAAAGTATCACAATCAGAATATACAGGTCTGTAGAACTAGTTAGCATATATAACTTATTCCTTCTGTTAACTTGTCCCTCTCTTTTGCCACTCGCAGAGAAAAACAAAACCCCCAAAATAACAGGAAAGCAGATTAAAATCCTCAAAGCTCTTGTCATTCCTTTTTAGCATAACTTGCCCTTACAAGTAATATAAAATATTAACAGTGCACTATATTTATCTTCATCTGTTACATCACTCTGAAGATAAAAGCCCTGTATAAAAAATAGTGGCATAAGGCAGTCCTTTTATCTTTTTCAATATTTTGTGTGTGCGTTTCCCAACTAAATTACAATTGCACATAATAAGTAAATATTTTCATAATAGTTTCATAATGCACTTTTCATTTTGTTAAATTTAGAAGTTATACATGTTTCATAAATCTCAACAAGATCTGGAAAAACGTTTGACTAATAAAATTATCTGCTTTGATTTATTAAAGTGAAAAGTTTGCATTTTAATATTTTTAATTATTAAATAACTGGACAGATTCCAAGGAATTGACAAATTTTCAGTTTCATAAATGATACCCTACACCTCAAAATTAAGAATAGGGGAACAAATTGTCTCCTCCAACCAGCCAACTTACTAAATCCCTGTTATAATTAAAGACAAATGCATTTTACAGCTTGGTGCATAGAATCAGCTGGTACAATATGATGCTGGTATCAAAGACTTTATAAATTAATATCATCTCCCAACTTTGCACTAAACTGCATTGGAATCGAATGTCAACAATGCCATTTTTAACTCCAAATTCTCTGGAATAATTTATATTGTTATTAGAATTATGTTTTAAGACTTATGCTTCATCTGTCATGTCTCACACTTCCTCAGATAATTTTTCAGAGTCTGCCACCAGTCAATGCCGGTTGACACTTGTCATCTGCAAGTTCCATGTCTATGAAAATCAAAGAAAATTTATCCAGTGTCTTAAATAACATCAGGAATAATTTTTGTAAACATTAAGGTTGTTATACCTGTTTTATTTTCATAAAACCAAATGACTTAGTGATTTTGTATCCAAGTCTACATCAATACATCACTTTAAAGAAAATGGCAGATTCACATACTTCTATGCATGATCAAAATAAAAGATCGCACTTGACTTTTTCCTTATAATTATCTTCTTTAGCAACACTGTAACAAGTCCTGTCAGCCAACACATTATTAAACATCCAGATATTCATAAAATACCCCATTTTCACTGTCCGAAACCAAATAAAATGCTAGGGAAAATTTGAAAGAACACAAACAATTTCAAGATTTTTGTTTGGTTTGTTGCTTTCTTTTTCAGTCTATCTGCAGTTTTGGGGTTTGGTTTATTTTAACTTCAGCAACACTTTTAACTCACTTGTACATGCAAAACATTTAGAAAGAAGTGATGAGTCTTATTCATGAAGTTCTGTAACAAAAACTTACCCTCACATTTTTTTTCTAGCAATTTTTAAAAATTGAGTATTTTCCATTAGTGACAATACACTTGTTGAAATGTTGGCTGTAACCAAACACCAGCTGCACTTACCCAAGTGTTGTCATGGTGACAATGGTGTACCAGAAGGCTGCAGGGATGCTGGTGAACTTGCTGGCTGAGGAACCTTTCTCTGCATAGTACATGACTGTGGCAAAGATGATGATGGCCATAGTGAGTGAAAAGAGGAGAAAGCCTAACTCCGAGGCACAACTTTTGAGCGTGTAGCCCAGAATGCGCAGCCCCTGTGAGTGGCGTGAAAATTTAAAGATCCTGAAGACACGAAAGACTCTCAGTGTCACAAAAGCTCCACTGACATCCTCGTTATCTGTCATCACCAGGCCAATGTAATACGGCATGATGGCAACCACATCGATGATACTCATGACACTACGCACGAATTTGTAGCGACTAGGGGCTGCCAGCAGACGTAGGAGATACTCAACTGTGAAGATCATGACACAGGCAGTATCCAGACAGAAGAAAGCCACAGCATAGCGCTCTCCACAGGGCAACTCTTTGATGCGACCTGGGCTTACCCCACAAGGGACTGTCTCCACCACGTTGGCAATAACAGAGACAGCAATGAAGAAGCCAGTGACATAGTAGAAGACCAGAGCCAGTGTACTGGTGTGTGGGTTTTCAAAAGCCCGCCACATCCTCTGCCGAGCTGTCATTGAGGGCAGGGAGCTCTCAGCTGCATTATCCTGGTCAGCATCATCCTGCAGGCGCTCAGCATTCTCACGCCGGCGATCCTTATACTCCTCATAACAGCAGTCACCAATGATCTCAGGAATGATGCCAAAGAAGGCCAGCTCCTCATCATAAGCTGAGATGCACTCCTGGCGGGGATAATGAAGCTTCCCAGTACGGTAAAAGTTGAGAATGTAGCGGAAAATGTCAGGGTCCCGATCAAAAAAGTACTGCTGTGTCTCAGGGTGATAGAAGAAGTCCCGCTCCGAACTGCCCAACAGAGTGTCAGGATAGCGCTCTAAGGTGTCCAGCCACGTCTGGAACTGGATGCCACTCACATTCAGCACAATCAGAGAGTCCTGGCTTCGCTTCCTCTCCTGCCGAGGAGCAGCTGGCATGGGACCTGTGGCCACTGGCATCCATCCTATGGCTGCCGCCCTGGCAAAGGGCAACCAAGCTGCTACTCCTGCTGCCATGGTCTACAGCTGAGTGAGTCAATCTAGACCCAGTTCTGGTGCAGCCACTAAAATAGAGAGGAAAAAGAAAAATACAAATGCTCATGCATATTTGAGGCAATAGAATTTAACACTGTTGCTTATTTCCATATTAACAAAAAAAAAATCTCTTTGTTTCCTTTTTGTTTCTCGCCTTTTTTCATCCCAGAGTATCCTTTCCAGGTCTTGACAGGACAATAAATCAGGGCACTTGGAAATCAAGGTATTCAAAGCAGCTGCTGTAGCAGCCAGATCCTTTGGATACAAGGTCCACTCGAGGCCCTTGAATGGAAGCAGTTCCACAAACCACTAACCCCAGAAGCCGGCTAGTAGCTCTGGTGCAGCGGTGCAGCCACCTGGAAGGAGGTTGTCTTCCACGCGCGATGCAGCCGGTGCCCCCGCCCCTCTTGTGCTCGGCTCCGCTCCGCTCCCCGCCTGCCGCCGGAGACGGGCCGCGGCTGCCAGGAGAGCCGTGCCCGGGCGGGATGCAGCGGGGCCGTGTCGAGGCGGAGGGGATGGACCGGGAGGGCCGCGCCCCTCCCCAGCCGCAGCCCTGGAGCAGCGACGGGACGAATCCTCTCCCTAACCGTGGTTACCTCCCGGGGACTCCTCCAGACCCCGCGCAGGGCCGGGGGAGCCGGCAGGGCAGGGGGAGGAGCTCCGGGCGGCAGCATTAAACTTTAAGGCAAGTTTTCCATGTAGGAAATGCGATGAATGGCAGAAGGGCGCTGGGAAGGGGCGAGGGAGGGGGGAAGCGCCCCAGAGAAAGCGCGCGGAGGGGAGTCTCCCCGGGACGGGGCGTCGGGCACGGTCAGAGACTGATCCGGAGCGAGGAGATCGGGACCGGGCAGAGCCGCGGTGTCTGTGGCGGGGGTACGAGCCGGGATTTGGAGGCGCCCGCAGAAGGTGGGATAAATGGGGCGTCCTCGGGCACGATCGAGCGGGCGGCGGAGGGCGAAGCCAGGGGAGGCTGGCGGTGGAGTAGGAGCGTGGCAGGTGCTCCCGGCGGCAGCGGAGGCCGGGGCGGGCGGGGGGCCGCATAAGAGGGCGCGGGGCAGGGGCGCGGGGTTCTGTAGCGGCTCGGCGGTGGATCACACACACACACCCCTTCCGCCTGCTTCCTCTCGCCCCTTCCCCGCGGCTGTGCTCTCGCATCCCTCCAAACGTGCCCAGCCTGTGGCACCTACCTGTGAAAGTCTGGCGAAAGCGCTCAGTTGCATAGAGACTTTTGGAAATACGGGCTCTGCCGCTAGATCTCCGCGCCCCGCCGGGAACGGCGGGGAAGTAGTTGCTCCTGAGAAAGCTTGATCGCATCCAAAGGGACATCAATAATAAGGCTTTCCCCCACCCCCACCCCCCTCCGCCACCACCGAGAGCCAAGCAACAAGTTCAAGGGGTGGGTGGGGGGAAAAAACCAACGTAATCGCGCCTGGCAACTCGGCGGAGCACGTCCTTTCGGGGCGCGGATCTTGCGGAGCGGCTGCGGCTGCGTCCGCTGCCCCTGCCGCGGGGCTGCCGCGGGGTGCGGGCGGCGGCGGCGAGGCCCTGGCGCGGCTAGGGGCGTGGGGGGGGCTTCCCGCTGCATCCCCCGCGGCGGGCGTGCAATGCCACCCTGCCGATCTGCCGCCCGCGGGCTTGGGGCGTAGGGGCGGGCGGCAACGGGCTGCGGCGGAGCGGGGAGCGGGGCGCGGAGGGGCGTGGGGCGAGAGAGGAGGGCATCGCTCCGCCGACGGAACAAAGGGGCTGCGGGAGGCTACGCCGGCGGCGGCAGGGCAGGCGGGGAGTGCCTCGCGGGGGAGGGCGGACTTGGGAGTACGGGTCTGTGTGTGCTGTGGGTGTCTGTGTGTGCGTGTGTCTGCGGGGCTGGGATCGCGCGGTCCAGCCCCTCCGCCGGCAGCGCCGCACAGACCCTTTGGAGTTAGCAGTGTTTCGGGTAGGGATCGGGTGGCGGAGACGGCTTAGGTGAGGTATCCGGGGGATTCCTCGGGAGCGCTGGCTCCTTTCAAGGGAAGGGGAACGATGTTCTGAAAGAAGGGGGGAGGGGGGGAGGGGGAGGTGAAATGCCTGCGAGTGAAGTGCGGCGATGCTCTTCATAACCCGCCCCGAGCCACTCCGGAGTTCTCGCTGCAATATCCAAAGGCTCTTACCAGCTATGGGAAAGGCGAGAGCTTGGACGTCTATGGGAGCCTTTTCCTCCTCCTTTTCTTTCCGCTCCCGCGCAAAGCCGCCCACCTTTTTCTCGTCGCTAGATGGCGTGCGGATGACGGGAAGTAAGCTCCCCGCCGGGGTGCCGGGAGGGTCCCCGGCTCCGCGCTCGCCGGTTCCCTCTCGCCCGCTGGGCTGCACCAGGGCCCCGCTGCCACCTCAAAGCCGCAGGAGAGCTCGTGGCACGGCTGCATCTCCGGGGGAAACCGGGCACCTAATTCCTCAAGCTCTGCGTGCCTCTGTAATAGCTCCCGTAGATACAAAGAGCTATCTGTATTTTTTAGCGAAGGTTCTGAAAACGCTGGATGTCTTCTGTACAGAGCTCGCGTCAATATACCAGAAGGTATTCCTCCTTCTAATGAACGTTTGTTTCAGTGTCTTAAACCACGACATTCGGTTTAGTAGTAGAGGCTTTAAAAGGAATCATAGCACAAATAGGTTCCGTTATTCTTGAAGTCTGACCAAACCTCCCACTCCAATAGCCTATTTTAGGCATATGCCAAAGAAACTTGAAACAAAAATAAACCAAATATATACTGAACCTTGAGAGGTAGCTCTTTTCTGTATTTTAATAACATGCTCAAGTGCAGCATATATTAGCTTCTGTTTAAGTTCCCATGTGAAAGCTGAACACTATCAGTACTGTAGCTGGTAAGCTGTTACTCTAAGAAATACTTGAAAACATAAAGGTTTTGAGTGCAGTCTTAGGGAAACTTGTGCTGATGATCAATCACATAAATCACATGAAATAAAATATCACATAAAATAAAGGATACTTTCTGTAGTTTTGCTGAAGTTGTTGGTTTGTATTGTTTTTTCTTTTCTCCCAGCTCAGATGTTCTGTACATTATAGCCAATAAATGAATCCATTATTTTGAAATTGTTTGGTCAGCTATAGCTATTGAGTTTTCAGTGATGCGGGTATTCTTCTCTCACATGAAAGATTAGGGTTTTTTACTTGTTGCTACAAAAAGACAGTCCTATAGCAATTAATAAAGCCAAATTTATGGTTCTGTCAGCTCAGCACTGAGACGATAACACAGAACTTCCTTTCCTAACAAATAATCAAAAAAGGTTTCATTTTCAACTATAGATCTTTTTGTAATCAGTAACTGCTCTCATTTTTTAACATGTCTGGCTTTACAGAAAATGCTTACTGCTTTCAGATGCCTTTTTTCTTTGCAGTTTTTCCAGAACAGAATTCTTCATTTACAACAAAAGGTTCCCTCACACACACCGATGAGAATGGATTCCATTAAAGAATCACTTGGATAGTTATTCTAATCTTAAAGTTGTTTCACAGAGTTACACATTTCACCAGGGAATAGCAAAAGAACCCAAGACAAACACTATATATTTGTACAAGTGGGTATCAGGTTGTGTTACAAGGTTGTGTCTATTTTAAATCAGAGGTTTAAAACCAGTCCACATTCAAAGTCTTTTCTTACACCAGTGACTATTTGAAAAAATGCTTACCTCAAATTTTTCTGGACAGCCTGTGTATTAGGGTTGTATCTTTCAGAAATGTATGTTGGAAAGAAAAGTCAAAGAGTATACTCTATTGCCTTCTTATTCTAAGAGAAAGTCCGTTAATGTACTGTTTAGAAGTGATAACCATTAGCTCAAACTCTCACAGTTTCTACCTTAAGGTTAGTGACTTGGTATTGTCTGGCTGCTGTATTCCCTACTCAGTAAATTTCAGAAAGACTGAATACGTAAGAAGACCAAGTACATAAAGTTTATGTAAATAATCAGTTCTTCTGAAGTCAAAATCCTGCCTGTGCCATCAGAATTACCTACCAGGAGATTGGTGTGATGTGACAGGGGGGATTATGACTTCAAGTAGGAATTAAGTAGCAGGGTCTCAAATGAGACCAAAATCCTATTTTCAAGCAAAGAAAATAAATCCTAGTAATTGTAGGAAAAGAAGAAAATGGTACTAAGGGGAATGCACAATGGACTCTTGAGTTGTTTCTTAATTCTTTCCAAAGTCATGAGGCACAAAGAGCTCTCTAAAGAGTAAAGAAGATAACAGCCATGATGCGTAAGTTTATATTAAAGCATTTAATTTTTTCTTTAATAATTTTGAAATATTCAGAATGTTTCAAACCAAGGATTTTCTTTACAGACTAAATGGATGTTTACATCCCCTTTTCCTAATTCCTCTAGTATTAAGCCAGTGGTCTTTTGAAAAAAAGAACACTACAGATACTTAAAGTCACCTTGTAAGCCTTAACTTCAAGTTTTGGCTATACATCTGTCATTTTTCTTTCCTTCCTTTTTGATCTAGAAGATAATGTCACAGTTCCTGCATTCTTATATGAATATTTTTGTACACTCAATACTGAATGCATAAAATCATGTAGGATAACTTTTCTGAATATATACTATTTCCCCACATCTAGATTAGTAAGAATAGTTTCCAAAGACACCCATATATTTATGTACTATTTGATTAAACAATTCAAAGAGCTTTTTAAATTTATAGGAATCAAAATTACTTATTCTTCCTCAAAATACAAAAGTTTCTTCCAGACCCCACTCTGGTTATTATTAGCAGAATATTCTACTGACCTGCCTCTTCTACCTCATGTATTGCTGGTTAGAAGGTCAAGGTGCTTCTCAGTCTTAGCAAGAGATTTGGAGTTTTGGTATTTTGTTTCTGTGGAGGGAACATTCCCAAGACAACCAAGTGGAAAAGGTTTTCTATAGTGCTGATCACAGCCCCACTAAAGAACTGGCTCATGAGATTAAGCATGTCACAGAGGAAAATGTTTGATTCTATAGTGCAAAAAGCCCCTATGCTTTGATCAAACATGCAATCAACACAAATACGTATAGTCATAGTCTGTAGCTTCCTTGCCTTCATAGATTTGTCTTATCTAAATCTAGCTGCCTTTTGTAATATGGGCCAGACAGAATTAGTGGGAGACATTTGATATGTGCATGATTTTCCAAAGACAAAAAGCCATCTTTCTAGGAGTTTGCTAAAACAGGCTCAGGTCACTTTGCAGTTCAAGTGCTTGTTGACCTTCTCTCTATATGGAGAAATGAATTGCTCTGGACATTAAAAAATGCCCTTTCATGGTCATGTCAAGGATTAAGACATATTGTGAGGGAAGTGCATAATATGCACCATTTCTTTTAAATTCTGAAGCAAACCTGAGAGTCAGTATAGCCATCATTAACCTAAAAAAAAGACCCTTATTTCTGTGGAAAATATTTTTTTTAATGCATTTATTACAGTTTTAGTGGATGGGGAGGAAAGCAGACCTATCAAGTGCTGTGGTTTTTGTTGTTTTTTTTTTAACTTAAGGTGAGGTTAAATCAGTACTTGGAATCATCTTCAGGAAATCTCACATTCTTCCAAAAAAAGGAGCTGATTTGATCTCAAATATTTGTACTTTTTCTGCTCTAAACCAACAAATACTGATTTAGTAATTATCTATGTTTTTATTTCTGTATGGGATATTATATAAAAAATTAATTCTATTAAACTATGTATTCATCATATTAAGCTCTAGGAATTCCTCTTCATATTAGTGATATTTTACTCTTCAATGAAATGGTAAATAAAAACTTTAAAACTTTATTACATATTTCTCATTTTGAATTCATGTTTCAGCCCATATAGTATCTTCAAAGGATTATTTGTCTCATCTCCATACTGAGACCAAATTTCGACCAATTTAGCTTCAGGCACCTGTACCATCTAATTAAGAGCCTACTAACCCTGACTTCATAGAGTCACAGAAACAACTTCAGAGAGCAGTTCATCCTACCTACAATCTCCATGTATGTAGGCAGGTATCCATTGACTATAAAAGACAGGCTGGGGTCTGTGGTTTTTAAACTGGAAGTCTTGGATACTTTAAATTACACAGGATAATCCTGAGACTGAGAGTCTAAGCCAGTCTCATAAGTCAATGGGAAAACTACCCTGGACTTCAACTGCCCTTAAGGTCACATCCTTAGAAAGCTAAACCAAGAGTGAATTAATGCAGAAAACTAATTAACCAGTAGAGTTCATACCCCTGGTTCTGCACTTTGGGAAGCACTTTGGGAAGCCTTCTTTGACAAGGATACGTCTTACTAGGCTTACTCAGTGTCACTGTAACGACATTTTAATCACATGCAGAATCTCCAATATTATGAGATACTCGCTCCACAGGTACTTAAAAAAAGGAAAAAAACAGTAAGAAATACTAGAATGTACAGCATGGGTTAGAAGCATTTACTCTTTATACT